AACGCAACCTTGTCAAAAATCAGTGAAATTTCCAACTTCCTACTTTAGTTTTTGGCAATTGTAACCCTGAAGGACAAATTTTTTAAAATTAATAATGGGTTTGAAGTAGGCTAAATTCCCTACACTTTGACACAAAAACCGTATCTGTAGACTTAATATTTACCGTGATGCAGCCTTTCAAATAATATTGATACACCGGTATTTTCAAACTTTGCAATTTTTTGCAATATTTTATTAGTTTTCACCCTGCATCTTCGGGAAACGCCCTTCTATAATATTCTAGGGGATTTTAAAGAGGTTTGAGGGGCCCAAAGATCACCCCCTCGACCTCTAAATATTTTACATTTCTTATTTCCATCTCCGGTTATATTTATCGAAGTCTTTTCCGTATGTTTTATGATAGGCTGTTAGCCTAAAAAAGAAAAAGAAGTGTGAATAAAGATTCTTAATGATAAGCTATGAATTATGAAATAACTTAACAAATATTTAATACGCAAGTACATCAAGGGTTACAAGGTACAAGGGGCTCAATAAAGTAATAAATTAAATTAATTTAGCCCTCTTTGGAGTGCGAGGTTAAGGTTCGTCGGTATCTGGATCGTTAAATATTCATGGTATATCCATATCCAGGAGGGGCGAAGTATCATCGATGTCTTGTGTAAACAAGGCATCCTCCATCATGTCGACATAGGGTAGATCAACGCTGAGAAATGGTCTAATTCTACTGCAACATCCGGTACCTAGTCACAGGAAGCCCTGCTGCAGTGCTTTTGATAGAGCTTTGTTTGGCAAAATCGATTATTTCTTGCATGTAGCACCACCAAATCATGTGTTCTCAAATATACGCTCTTTTATTTTAAGAGCCCATTCGTCACCACGTTTTTCAGCTGCTTCCAAGTTGTATTGAGAGACGTCTTTTGCACAGTATGACATTGATTCTTTTTTCTGGCCTTTTCTTCCTTTGAGACACAAGGAACTCTTCAGTTATTTGGTCTCCACAGAGAAAACAGTATTCTCTTAAATGTAACTGCTCTGTTACTGATCTTGTAACCCTTGATGCTGCAACATTTGAATCTCCACTGCAAATAGCTGCTTGGATCAACTTCAAATTGTTGCATTTCATCTAATAAGCACTGTGCACATATATCTCACTTACACCCTTCAGTAAATGCTCATTTTCTCGGTTTTTAAGAGAAACGGTGCAATGCAGGTTTTTACACCTATCTTTCCTTTAACAGCACTTCACCTTCACTTAAAGTTTCCTTACATATAAAACACAAACCCGCTCTGGGACTGGGATCAGTCTGTAGATATTTATTTAGAAAACAATTATAAAAACATTAATTAATAAACAACGATGAATTAACTATATGGTTATTCGACAGCTTTACAGTACTATCTCCAATGGTTAAGGCCATTAACCAAATAAAATTATAGGCATATGGCACATCAAAATGAAGCTCAGATTGTGTAGATTTGCCGAAAAGTATTGGTATGAACAAATTCTCTTAGGGCTCTGCCCCACAGGCCGATTTCCATTGGGATAAAACCTTACACGTTTTAGAAGTTAACGTTATTCGACTAATCTTTCATTTACTTCCTCAGTATATGGGGCCAAAAATTTACAGCAAATTACCCGCTGAGATTACAAACGTTGCCTCGTTCTCTAAATTTAAATTATATTTAAAAAAAATTCTTTTGGAGATGGCATTTTACTCACTAGAAGAATATCTGGAAGATGTGTATATTTGAAAGATATTACTTCTCCCATAAGTAGCCTATTGATTGCTTTATTTCTTTTTTAACCTATTTTATTATTTAGATTTATCATTGTAGTATTAGACTTTGTGACAAATCACCTGTCAAAAGAATTTATGTAATGTGGCGATGTTAAATAAATTGATAAATAAATATTTCAATAAGTGTTTAAATATGTAGCTGATGTTAACATCTTCCTTCTAAATTTTAAATCATGAATGAACACAAACATTGTATGATAAGTAATAATTGTGATCTCATTTGTTATATTAAGCAACATACAACACGGGATTACACAAATTTTTTCGCAGGCTGTCTTGCAGAAAGTTTTGGGGAAGATTGAGTTAAGAATTCACAATGTTATTGTAACTGCAGGTGATGATCGTTATGTCGTACGATCAAGGATAATGATTTAATTATTTTGCCGCCTTAGAGGGAGTTAGATATATTGAAATGAAATATTACCTCGTACTAATTATTTCTAATGTTTTAAGGATATTTGTTGACTGTCAAATATTTGTATTTCTTTAAAATAGCTTTTGCGCTGATGCTCTTATAGTTTATTTGAATTTATGAATCTCATTAGCCTAAGTTACTCATGTACTTAAATATACAGACTGTCCCAAAAGTCCCGGACCGGTTTAATATTTCCTAAACGACAACAGATAAATCAATAAAATTTTGCACATTAACACCACACTAAAAAATTTACTTTTTTAAGGAACTATCAGTTTTCTGTCATATCATGGGGACGTCCCACGAGGAGTCAGAAGGAAATCTTAAATAGGAGCATAGGTCAATATGCACATCAGTTTAAAGGGCTTAGCTAGCAGAGTTCAATGCCGGAAACCGCGCCTCGAAAGGATCACCCGTTACAAAATGGCGGCCGTTCAAAGATTTCTAGAACCTGCCATTTTGAATCTTTGAACGACTGCCATTTTTTACTCAGGCGTTCTTTTGAGCTTGAATTTACGGCATTGTAATCTACTAGTGAAGACCTTTAATTTGATGTGCATATCGACCTATGCTTACGCTAACAAAAATGTTCTGACTCCTAGGGCTCTGCCCCCAAATGCAAATTAAATGAATCTTTGAACCACTGTTACTCTTGACTTGGTTGTCCGTTTGAGTTTAAATTTGCAGCATTATATTCTGCTAGTAAAGACCTTTAATCTGATGTACATGTCAACCTTTGCTTCTATTTAAGATTTCCTTCTCACTCCTTGCGGGACGTCCCCATGATGTGACAGAAAATTTATATTTCCATAAAAAAGTAGATTTTTAGGTGTGATGTTGATGTACCAAATCTTGTTGATTTATCTGTTGTCGTTTAGAAAATATTAAACCGGTCCGGGACTTTTGGGACAGTCTGTATATTTCAATAATATATTTACACTCATGCTTGGTTGCCAATACCTCAACGGCACCCCAGTACTTTAGGTGCAGTTCTTTGAGAGCTTATAAGCGTTTTTGCTTGAAGAAACTTACCCAGTATTTGATTATGGGCTTCCGCAAGAGTTTTTAAACATAACTTGTTGCCTCTTTGTTTTAGTGATCAGCAATGTATCCGACGAGGAAATGCAAGAGCATTATGACAACTTCTTTGAAGATGTGTTCGTAGAATGTGAGGACAAGGTAAGGTATATCCTTATAAAAATTTTTAATTTGTTATAAAAACTCAATCATAGGCAGACTCAGTATTTAAATGTATTAATAAAATGGGATTGTGTATCCTTTATTTCAATACAAAAAAGTTTTAAACTGCATGGCGTTTCTAAGAATCTATATATGCAGTAAAATTGTTATAAATTCAAATATTTTAGGTGTTCATTAACAATTTTACTACAATATTTTACACCTAGCTTGAAAGGTGTATCTTTTAAATAAACTTTCTTATGTTTTCACAATTTTAAAAGAATTCTGGCACTCATTTTTTAAAAATTTTCATTTTTTAAAACCATACAGGTACAAGAGCATACCATACACCAGAGTGAACAAACAGTAACGAATGCGCAATTCACTTTGGTGTGACCGACGCCTCGAGCGGCAACAAACACCAATCGGCCAGGTTTGGTAGTGCTCGGTAGTCGCATGTTTGCGCCTGCTCCATCCATTGTCGGTTTCGTAGCGAATGATCAAAGGAAATTTAGGTTGACTCGAGTTCAGTGCTTGCTTTAGTGTGACCACATCGGAGTGATTCCAGTCTGGTACTTACCTGTTTCTACATTACTGCTATCAACAGAGTTGTTTAGGTAGTTTGTTTAGTTGATCTATTTCCATCCCCACTGCACTCATTTATGATTATGGTCTCCGTGGAGTTCTTATGATGGCCGGAGCTAAGCGAACGACGTTTCAATCTAGACGATTCATGTGTGTTCACTCTTGTGTGACTACTCCCATTCTCAGGTGTTTGCAAATGCTAGCAAACCACAGCGAATACCAGTGAACGTTCGGTTCCCTTCTGTTTGCTCTGGTGTTACCGCACCTTAAGAAACCATTCAAAGATTTCCTGAATAGTTTATTTCCTATGAATTTTAGTAGGCCTACATCTTGTTGTTTTACTCTTTGGCGAGGAATCATAAATCATGGCAATATTCTTTTTTCATCCTGCAACTTACTATTAACTGAACATAGATGTGTTTGTAGCCTATATGAACATTTAGTAATAGTATATACTGTGAGATTGCCGTGCAATTTAGAAACACCCTGTAATTCCTATGACTCGTTAGGCTTATATATGAAGTAGGTAAGTAGTACTGTTTTACTGCTGTATTACAACTAGCCTACCAATATGGCTTTAATTATTGCAAAAAAATAATGGAGGATTTTTTACCTTTATTTTATATTTGCCTGGCCCACTAGACCCTAAATATTTAATTTTATTTTTATGTCTGTTTCAAACCAGGGGAAATGTTTTGCTATCTAATCTTCACAATAAAAATAGTTTTTAGTTGTTTTTGTTTTTTAAACTTAACTCTAATCAATTAAATAAATCCTTGTTTGATTATTTTCCAGTATGGTGAGATAGAAGAAATGAACGTGTGTGACAACTTAGGAGATCATCTAGTTGGAAATGTTTATATCAAGGTTTGTATGGTTTACTAAGATCAACTCTTATTATATGTAGTTAAGCTTACTTAGTTTAGGAGAGGGACTTGAAAGTCTTTGCTTTTAAAGGAAAATACAAGTACATAATTATTTATTATAATATATGTATAGTTAATTATTTTTTGTCTCATAAAATTACCATGAACATTTTATTGTTGTGTCCTGTTGTTTGGTTTTTCTTTTTCTTTAGTTCTCACTTTCAGTTACATTTTACTAATCTTACAATGGGAAAACTTATTCTGTTGCCTATTGTATGTATGACATAAACACCCATAGTCTTCTTCTACTTGGATGGTGTAACCAAACATTAAAACACAATTATTAGCCTTCTTTAGTTTGTAAAAATGTATTCTCAAATACTAGTGTAGAGCTGTGGCTAACTTTGCTCAACCACTCTTGAAAAGCAAAACAGCCACCTGACCGAAGTAGAAGTATATGAAGTTCCGAACCTCATGAGTGACGTAACTGCCGAAGCTTCTACCCACAACACAGTGCCAAGTCGGGCTGTACTTTCTGTCAAACTCCTTCTTTATATAGGACGCTATGTCTTTTTCCACTGTATATTTCTGTATAGCCTGACTGGCCAAGTCTACAGCGTCACGCTGCATATCGTCTGTCATATCCACACTCTTTATTGTCACTCTCTCATCAGTAATTGACATTGTGCAAGTTCTTCTACTTGTTCAGATATTTTAACTTGAAATTTAGACCTGGAAATAATTGTCAAGTAAAGGTTTAGGTACCTGGGATTCATGTTCCCTCTATTTATTGTAACAGCCTATGTTACTAACTATTTTTGTTAATTTAGTTTAACATTAATCTTACTTTAGTTCCATCAGACATTTAATTTTGTTTTTTAATTTTGTTGTGGCTAGTTTCTGCTACCATCCCATTGAGCATGTATTTACCTACTTTGTATTGTCGCCATTTCAATGATAAGTATTATATCATAATTAAAATACACATTTGTTGACCTTAAACAATTTTAGGATTTTATATTTATTGCTAAAATGTTTTATGTAAGATGAAGCTGTCTGAGTAGTTGATTGGTTATTGTGCTCTGAAAGTCTTTGGTTTGTTACTAAGATAGACCAATACTGAGCCCAATGCGTTTGGTTTTCAGGTTCTTAATTAAGCTTTCTAACAGAAGATCAGCGTTATATATTATTAGCAAGAATAGGGTTTGGACCTTTCTCTCAAAAATGTCAATGGCATAGGTAAATATAAAAATATGAAAAAATGGATTTTTGATTGATATGATTATTAATGGACTGCAATTCAATGTATGCACAGTTTCGAAGAGAAGAGGATGCTGAGAAAGCTGTCAATGACCTCAACAACCGTTGGTTCGGTGGACGGCCAGTTTATGCCGAGTTGAGCCCAGTCACCGACTTTCGTGAAGCATGTTGCCGACAGTATGAAATGGGGTTAGTGTTAGCTTTTTTAACTGTAGTGATTGGAATTCTTCATTTAGTAACATTTTAATTTTTCAACCATTATAATCATTGACCATTCCCTACATTACTTACATTTAATTTATTCTCTGTGCACCTAAGACTATTCCATTAAAATAACTGAAAAATGTATGCGCTTACCTGATCTTGTTTGATAAAAATGTCCTAATTTTAAGTGGGATGCTGATTGTGTTTAAATTGTTACCATGGTAATACCGTGAATTATTTTTAACTAGGAAGTCATCTAAGTATTTTACAAGCTCTCTTAGCAATCCAGAAATCTTCTTTTCGTGCAAAAGCTGTTGATTATACCCTTAGCAAATTTAGAATTCTTTTGGTCAGCATCAAAAGTGAATGCAATCTCAAAGAAGCTGCTGGCCTGGTGTTTATGGTGTATTGGACAGTGACAGCAAACTTTAGCTGAGCAAACAAGGATAAAAACATGATTATGTTAATGCAGACTTAACAACGTAGACCCAGAGTATTGCCAGTCTAGAATGCAGCACTGATAGCCTTGGCCTGGGTTCAAATCTAGCCAATCACCTTTGGTTTTTTTAGCTATGTTATGTTATGGTGATTTTAGGCTACTTTGGGCTCAACATTTCCTCACCCTGAAAATAATAAGGATTTAAAGATTTAAAGAATTAATTTTGAGTTTGAGTTGAGTTTTTGAGTTTGATTTAAAGAATTAGATGTTATTTATTGAAAACGTCATCAAAATTGTGTTTTTTTGTTGTAGAAATTGGAAGTTGTGAAAATCGATCTAAAATTTTGTCAAAATTGTGTATTTTTTAAGTAGAAATTTGATCAACTTGATAGGTGAAAACAATTTTTTTATGAGAAGAACCTCGTACGCAAATTTAAGTTTCCCTTTTTGTTCTTAGAAAATAAAAACTATACAAAAAAGTAGTGTAAACGATTCTAACACATGTGTTTACTTATATGTAGTTCAAATGTATGTTGTATAAGATTATTGGAAACAAGATGGTCCAGTGCTAGGACCAAGCGTTAGTGTTTATACCTTTTTTTCTCATTCCGTTTCCTTACACTAACCATCTCTATATAGGCTTACTGCCTCTAGATATGTTTTGTTTGACTGTTTTCAATGTTTGCAGAGAATGCACTAGAAGTGGTTTCTGCAACTTCATGCACTTGAAGCCGATCTCTCGTGAACTGAGGCGTTACTTGTACAGTCGCAAGAAGAAGAGCGGCAGGAGGTGAGCGTTTTGTGAATCAATTACATTTAAGTTTCAATTTTATGTAAGTATTACACATTGAGGGTGTTGTAAACTGGAAAGACTGCAATTAGTTTACACTATTTACAAACAAAGGTTTGATGTAAGATTCACAGATGGGCATTTTGCAAAGCAAAATCATTAGTCTACTAATTATGTTACAGTATATAGGTACTAGGTATCTTAGTTCTAACCTACAAAAAATATTTTTTCGGGTTTCTAGATTTTATGTTACTGTGAGTAAATTTTATCTAAAAATAGTTTTATAAATCATAAGTCATAAGTAAGATGAATGTTGTGGAACATTTTTTATGCCGTGCTCCTTTGTTACTTAACTGTGTGAGCAAGATGAGATATATTACTTACCAGCAGGTCTATAATAAATGCTTTGTGGTTGGCTGACCAGGATTTGCTTTTAAATGTTATACCTTACTATTTAAGAATTTTGAGTTTTAAGCTTTCTTTTATTCTTAAAATTTGAGATTTTTTTTAAAATTAGAAAATAACATGGAAAATGCCATTACTACAAGTTATCTTAAAGAGTAGCTTAAGAATAAGCTTGGAAAGAAATTTGGCGCTGATCCGTTCAGTAGTTAAGGTAGTACGGTAGTTAACTTCAAAGTCCTTTTTTAAAACGTTTTGACCCACCCTGTAAATACTAAAGATAATTAGGTTAAAGATAATTACATTTTTTTTGTACCAAAATGATCGGGGTGATTAGACCTTTAAACTGATGTATCACACAACCCATGTTTACATTTGACAATTTCTCAAAAAGCACCCCTACCCCCCAAATTGGGCCATTTTGGGGCATTTTTCAAAATTGAAAATAATTTTATTGGATTTGGCATGTCCAAATTAGGGGGAAATGATAACAAAAAAGTGTTAAAATCCGCAACTTTGAACACAACAGATATGGAAAGTTTTCAAATGAACACCCTGTATATTATAACTATAATGGATGGTTTACATTTAGAGATGTTTGGAGTTCTGTTTTAAAACAATCGTGTCATCATAAACACGTGTTGATGTGAAGTTCAGTCGAGGGTTTCATCAATGATCACAAGTGATGTCAATAGCATCATATGTTTTGTTTTTTGAACTTCACATTGAAAGCTGATAGAGGGTTTTGTTCGGTGTTTAACTAATTTTACATTACCCACAGCTCATGGTCTAAAGGAACCAGTTTAATACAAATACGTGCATGTCTAGTTATTATCTTTATTTTTTATTTTTGTCTTTTTTATTGTTTATTATGTAATGATCATTGTTTGGTTATGCCAGGTCTCGCAGTCGCAGCAGGGACCATGTTGGATCTCGCAGGTCCCGCTCTCCACGTCCGAGAAAGGATCGCGACCGTCGTCGAGACAGAGAGGGTCGTTCTGGTCGCTACTGAGGTAATTCAACCTATAGCCAAAAATGCCATTACAACATTGTGAATGGGTGGTAAACATTTAGAAATTAATGCTTATTATGGTGATGTAAGAATATTTAACTTATAATTTAGAGCAGCACCCTCATAAACAAGCTTAATATTTAAAAATCAAATTTTGATGAATTTACTCTTCCTCTCTTTTTACGTCATACAAAGTTCTCCAGGGGACGAAATATTGCATATTTTCTGTGTCTTGTGTGTACTAAGGCATACCTGGATTATCTCAAAGTTGAGATATCTGATATCCATTTATTCTAAACTTTACAATTTTGGCCTGGAACCTTTTCTTAACCAAACTTTTCTGATCGAATAAAAAAGTGTTTATTTTGTAATTATTGTATATCAACACTATTACTAAAACTTAACCTATGTAAACAAGTACACAGACTTACTGTCGGTATAGGAATTTTTAAAAAGGAATAGAGTTCAGCTAACTTATCTGAGTAAATTGAGTCCAGGGGATAATATACAATAAAAGAACACAAAACATAACACTGATATTTCGTCCTGAGGAAGGACTTCTTCTAAGAATATGTTGAAGATATAATAAACCTTCTAGCGGTTTGAGTTATTATATGAACAAACCATACCCCATACCCCTTCAATACCATACCCCTTGGTAATTTTATTTATTTTAAAATTAAATTTATTAATACCTAACCATTTTTTAAGGTTGGCTGTGACTAAAGAAATTCGATGAAGTTGTGTTGTAAATCCGGACAAATCAGTATACAGTTCGTTAAATCACTTTATGACAGCTGTGTTGTTTAAATGCCAAAAGGTGCTGTTTTGAAATTTTTTTAAATATTTACACACTTTGTTTCAGGAGCTAGAAGACATGGGAGAAATCCTTGAGATCATATTATTTTACCAGAACTTTTGATTTTGTGAGTGTTAAATTTTTTTGTATTTGTAGTGTCTCAAACATAAAGAACTGTATTATGCCACTTGACATTCAGTGAATAATTTCTGGTTAGAATTTGAAATACATTTTCATTTCATACATATTTGTGTTGTGAACTATATTCTCCCCAATTTGTTTTCCCCAGTAAGAGTTTTGAAATAAGCTTGTATCCTTTTCATATTCAAAAGTTTTCAAGTAGATGTAGCCTACGATTGAATCTAATGGGTTTTCAATTTTCACATGTAAACAAAAATCTTACAATATTAATATTTTAAACTTTTAAAATATGTATGTACATACCTATCAATTACTGTATATGTTTATAAATATTTTTTTTTAATTGTAATTACATTAGTGTGATAATAACTTCAAAATAATGAAACTTTTTAGTACCCTTTCCATTAATCTTTAAAACTCTTAACTGTGTCAAGTATCAGGAGGCCTCTAGTCCCGTCTTTATCTTTGTTGAGCCAGGCCTATATCAACATTTTTAATACCCATGTATATTTTGGGTCTTTGATGAGCAAACAAACTTTAGTGATAACACATATAAGATTGAGGCCTCTTCTTTGACTTGCAAAATGGGAGGATTTCAGCGACAAGGTTTAGCAGCTGTTGCAGGTGATCTTTTTACTATTTATGATTTTATTTTCGCAGTACCCAACCATAGATAATCATACACCATGTGTTCTTTCCTATCTACAGACTATTTTAAGGGCTGTAAACCTAAATATATATAAAACCTATATATACCATGTATTTAGGCATGTACAATAAAATAAGTACATTTTTAAGTTCTGGATTTTTCCCAGCAACTTTTATGAAATATATAAAAATTTTTTTATTTTAAAACAATTTTCAGTCTAAATTCAAGCCAAAACATACTTGTTAGCAAGTATTGATAAAAATATTTTTATTTTATAATATTATTTTACTATGAAATTGCCTACAGTTGAAATGTACAATCTTATTGAGACCTGCAAACAATATTAAATAATTTTTATTTCCTAATTTTATTATTATATGTACCGCGGATTTAATTAATACTACTACATTCAGATTTTAGCTCAAGTAATTAACTGTTTTCTATGTGCTGTGTCTTTTAGAAATCTGGGTGACTCAACAATGTAATTGGTTGTTGGCAGTTATCAGAGATCTGATAAAAATGGACTAATAAAAACATTTAACATTTCCTTTCAAATTCATGTTGGATTATTTACTTGATACTTGATGATGTCCCACTAGCATCACTCCTGCGACGTGGTCGTCAAAATGGGTAGAAACACAATAATAGGCCTAATTGAACAGATCTTCTACTTTAAAATAGGCCACTTCACATAAATATTCCTTTAACATCTTCTTGAATTTATTGATATTCTGCTCTTGAATAATGTTCCTTGGTAGTGAGTTGTAGATCTTGACACTACTAAAATATGGGCTCTTGCAGGCCAAAGTTGAGTTAAATTGGGGTACATGTACTTGATTAGCTCTTCTCGTGTTGTACTGGTGGACCAGATTGTTTGTGAAAAAGATGTCCGGATTATTTCTCACCAATATGGCAGATTCTAAAATAAATAGTGATGGGAGGGTTAAAATTCCAAGGTCCTTGGACCTACTGTGAGCAAGACGTTGAGCACCACACATTCTCCTAATAATTCGTTTCTGGAGGAGAAAGATCCTATTGGCCATGGTACTACCTCCCCAGAACACTATTCCATAAGATATTATACTGTGAAAACATCCATAATAAACTTTTAACAAAATGTCAGGCTGGACCAATTTCTGGAGCCTAGTAATTAAATTGATTACAGATCTTAATCTTGAAGCTATTGAATTAATATGTACATCCCACTTGAGATTTTCTGTTATGTGCAGATTAATCATTATATTTATTTCTGCGACAATGTTCTTTTGTAGTATTTTAAATATACAATATATTGGGGGAGCGAGCTGGCGTAGTGGTTAGAGCGCGGGACTTCAGTCCCTGAGGTCCCGGGTTCGATCCCCGCCAAGTCACCAATGGATTTTATCTAAGTGATAATGCCGCAACCCCTAGGTCTAGCCTGAAGTAATGTGAAAAACAATCCCAGGCTCGTGCCTAGCGTCTTAGGAAAAAAAAAAAATATATATATACAGTTTGCTGGCAAAAGCTTTTACTTAGTTCAATGTCTTTCGTCAGTGTTTTCAAGTGGTGGGCTTAGTTTTTTGATTGGTTGCATGTATTTTGCAACGGTCAACAGTCAGAAGTATACAAATTATACTAGAATGGTGTCATTATTTACAAGTTAACTCTTCAACTGATACTGTCCATGGTTTCTTCATTGCATCTTGAATTAGATTAAGTAGGCATAATCTAGTGATATCATCATATAATATTAATAACTCCAATACAACTCCATCCAACTCACCCATACAATACCAGAAATAAATCGGAAATCATACCCACTCATCACAGATTGCAACTCTACACAAAAAAAACCATCATATGCAGGAGCAAAGTTTTTTAGAACTTTACCTAAAGAAATAAAAAAAGAAAATAATGTTAATAAATTTAAAATTAAGTTAAAAAATTATATTACATCAAATCCTATTTATTCAATTGAGGAGTATAACCAGTTGTAAAAATATGTATTATAAGCCCTGTTAGCTATAAGGAAATGACACTATTCCGTTGTATGACTCATGTACACATTACGAATAAAGATTGATTTGATATTAGGATTGACTGATAAAGATTTTGTCAATTATGTCAAGGCTATTGTTATTTGTCAAAACATGAACATTGTTTTCTTTTTTTTTCTTTGTGGCTAAATTAGTTTGTGACATGAAATGTTCAAAGGTTTACAGGTGAAGTAATGGTGTTTTAATTATTGACAGAATGGAAGTAAATTTCACAACAACTACACCAATTCTAACAGTAACATTAACTTTGATACTATTAGTGATTTATAAGAGAACACAGTTTATTTATACTTTAATACTTTTCATTGAAATGGCGACCATACAAAGTAGGTATTTTAAGCCAAGTATAATTTTGAAAAGTTTGATAACTGGGACTAACTTCTACTTTTGAACAGTGTTTTCTTTACTAATCACTGGCATATTACTTAAATAATACAACCTTAGTTTGGGAATTCACTAATTAACTTAAAAAAATATTTAGGCTTTTAAAATACATTACTAGGGTGATTTAAATGCCAAATGTAAAATGTTTTGGCGTTTTAAACTACGCCAAAGGTGTTGTCTAAAGAGAGAAACAGTCTGATCAATCCATTACTCATTATTGACTAAAGTCTTTACTTTTTATGAACACTGTTGGTTGGAAATTAAATATTTAAGTTTTCCACCTAGAAGGAGTACATTGCTACAACCAAGTGAGGTAGTCCACTACTGCAACACTTATGAGATATGATTGTTTGATTTGATAGTTGCAAGTGTTATGGCTCAATTGTTTAGGAGGGGCATTGAAGACAGTGTTAGACATGACAAGTTCAGTTAATTTAAACACAGCTTGTGAGTGAAAAATAAATGGAACATCTTAAAATTTGAGTGAGCACCATATGCTTAACGGCAGGTTCTAAACTTAAACACATACTATTAAACTACATTAACTAAAGGGTTTTTAATATAAACTGTTGAACTGCCGATTATAAATATTTATGGTTTCGTTTAGTAATGTGACCTGTTAAGGACAATAAAGGATTTCTGATTTCTGGTTATTGGTAACCAATAAAAACTATGCAAAAAACAATTTATGTACCTTAAGACTCACCATCGGCAGCATAAGAGAAACCCCTTAATGTCACAGCAAAATAACTAATAGAGTGTAGGGAACAATAGAGAGATTAATCAATAAACATGATATAGAATTAAACAATACAAGAGGTGTATTAGAGATAAGATTAGTAACTGTCATCACAAATCTATTGAGGACCTCAACCTACATTAGAATGGGAGGATACGGAAGGCAATGTGCAGCAGCGCTCGCAGGTAGGTGTACAATGAGAATATTTTTTATCTGTGCAAACAATATTTTAATAATATGGATACTGAATTTGTTTTTTTAAATAATATTTTTTGTGTAAAGGGGTACCCACAGGCAAATTTTCAAAATTTACAAGTGAACTGACACATTTTTAGGCCGTTTTTAACTCTATTAATCACAGTTTAGAGGCAAAAACTATGGTTTGACTTAAAAATATTGACAAACAAATATAAGAATTTTGAAGACATTAAAATGTTTTTGTATTAACATCAAGATTCTTTGACCATAAAAATGTGAACGTTGAAAGCTATTAACTTACCTTCTCAGTGAAGATTACCCATTTATCTAGTGTAAATTGGATACTCGAGGCGGGGCCTATACCCCCCTAGCCCCTCTCCATTCCGCCACTGGTTAGATTGGATTTTCACTGAAATACTTCCCTTGACAAATTTGTATTTTACCGAGTGCTTAGGTAAAAATTCACCTTAAATGAAAGAAATAAGCCTATAGAAAATATATAAGTAAAAATTAAACTCTTACTGGTTTGAGGCTAATGAATTAAAACTGAATGAAGACAAGACACAGAGACTTTTTTAGTACTCTCAATCATCGCGTACAAGATGTAACCAGCGTAAATATTCTTGGTTTTTCAATTGATCTAAAACTTGCTTGGCATCCAATCAGTTTGTGAAAGTGTCCTGGGTGGTCCATCTCCTTCGGAAGTTGACTAGGATTGTCAGTAAACCCTATTTGCTTGTAGTATATCACCCTCGTTTCCATAGTATTTTAAGCTATGGTCTCCTACTCTGGGACCATGCACCAACATGACAAGAAACTCTCAAATTACAGAAAAAAAACAGTACATATTTTAACTTTTAGTAAAAGATTTGACCATTGTAAACCTCTGTTTGTCAGCACCGGAATTTTAACAATCTACAGTCAATACATTTTTATGTCAGCTGCCCATGTGAAGGCAAATAATCTACACAAATTCCCTCCAAGAAATACTGTACACAGCCATAGTACAAGACATTGCTCTGACCTGAACATGCCCTTCTGCAGGCTGTCAAAAACCAAAAACTCATTCCCAATGCTTGCCCTGAAGGTTTACAACCAAAACCAAGAAGAAACAGCCTTTCGTTGTGTCTTGAAGAATTTGTTGAGACAAGTCATACTACAGCCTACATGATTATCTAAATGAGAAACTTAATGAGTAAATTAAAATGAGTAAGCCTACGGCAAAATCATTCACCCCCTAAGTACTTATTTAAAGTTTTCTAATTTCAATCTATGGAAAGTTTTAGTGTACATATACTGTAAAGTGTAAATATACTAAATTGATGCAACCTATCCGGCTCTGCTAGTCTCGGTCAAGGAGGAGGTAATAAGGGGTTTTGAATTAAATTATACTGGACCATTTAGTTTTTTACATAATGGCTGCAATGTAAATTGTGCATTTTTCAAAAAGTCCATGATAATGAATGCTTGGACCCGCCTTGACAGGGCTTTGGATTTGAAATTGACAGGGGAAGTTGAGCCATGATTCCATGGATGGTTTTTGGATTCGGGGGTGATATGAGATCTCCATTTCTTATTCAATTTGGACTCAATATTTCATAACCTTCTTCCTCGTAACACATAAAACATTCAAAACACTCCCCAGCCATTTTCCTGTGTGGTCTTCTTTTTCACAGCCATTTTTAAACTCCCTTTAACCCAGTGCTTCCAAACCTAACCCACTAGTGGGTCGCAGACGGATTTTTGGTGGGTCGTGGGTTGACTCTTGAATCGTAACATCGAGCTCAGACACCGTGCGTTACAGTAGCCGTACACGATTTGGCAATGCGGCCTCCCCCCCACCCACACGACCGGTTTTCTCCCACTAGGTCTTGCTCTCTCACTCGCACACAGTTTCAGACTCGGCTCTTATTGGCATTGTCAGTCCAGTCTGGCAACTGCATTTCCTTGCAGTAGGAGTAATAACGGATGATAGTGGCTTGATACTTTTTCTTGAGTTGTTTTGTTTTTAAAGTATTGAAGTAGTGTTATGACTATCAACGATAGAGAATTGGCTGAAAACTGAGTCTGTTAAGAGGAAACCGGAATCAACTGACGAAGGTGAGCTTAGTCGTCCTTCTACTAGCAATGACGTTAAAGAGCCTCGAGTATCGTTAAATGTTAAGAAAGGGAAAAAAATATTTCGAAAATATTGTCCTGAATACCTCCAATACGTTGAGGTACGTTTATTTACGTTTATAGGTACCGATGATGAACCTATGCCCCATTGCGTAATTTGTTTTGAAACCCTGGCTAATGAAAGTATGAAGCCTTCAGAACTTCAGGGGCACATTTCAACAAAAAATCCAGAATGCTTGAATAAACCTTTGACATTTTTTCAAAGTAAGAAAAAATAAGAACTATTTTCAACTCGGTCGAATTTGGAGAATGTGTGATCGCCTGATCGGGGAAAGGTAATAAACAAATTATCACGGCCTCATACCAGTTGTCTTTGCCAACCGCTAAAAATGGTGCTCCGCACACAGCAGATGAGAACCTTATTTTGCCTGGGGCAAAAATAATTTTGTACCTTCTGTTTGACGAAAAAGCTGGTCAACAGATAAGTCAAATACTACTGTCCAACACTACAGTGAAACGTAGAATTGACTAAATGTCTGGTAATGTAATGGAGAGTTTGCGCCTTTAAATTTCTAACTTTAATCCAGACATAGAATCACTAGTTCAGTAAAAACAATGCCAAAAGTCACACTAGCCTTAGAGATGAAATATTTGTAATATCGAATAATCAACAAACTCCTTTCCTTTTTTCTATGCTGCGTTTTTATTTCATATGATTGACCACACGTTTATTAATATAAATAAATAAATCATAAAATATATGTAATAAAAACATTTGTAAATAGCGACTGGTGGGGGATGGGTCGTGGGAATAGATAAATATCCGAAGGTAGGCCGCCAAAAATAAAAGGTTGGGAACCGCTGTAGTGGCATAAACGTCAGTCATCTCTCGATGAATGACTGCAGTCAATATGTTTCTTTCAGTCAAAAAAGCATCCTTAACCATATCTCAACTGCGGTGTGAGATATAATTTAAATAAATTTAAGACATGGCTAAGCGTACACATCAGCTACATAACTAAAAATAGCTTGACTCTGTTCACAAATGATCCCAGTAGCAGCGAGCCGCCTGGTTACATACGAACCATGGAGCTATCCACACAAATGGTCCAGATTACTTAAAAAATGCCCCTCATATTTAATTGTAAAATGTAAAAACAGTAGGCTTGAATATATACCTAAACATAAAATTCAGATTAAAAGTACCCTCCTTCTTCACCCTGTATTAAATCGCAATTTAAGCGAGCTAGCAAGCATTTTACCTACCAATAGTCTTTTTTATCAATAATAATTTTAATAACCATAACATTTTTTCAGGGTCAATTGCAATATTCAGTACTGGTATGGCTTACGGATGGGTCTCGCCAGTACTAAACACAATCACAGATGAAAATGGAGAAATACGAGCTTCAAAAGAACAATATTCCTGGATCGCTGCTGATGTTGAGATCGGGTTTTTTTCCACTCCGTTCCTCGCAAGCTATCTAATGGACAAGTTCGGAAGAAAAAGACCAATGTTGATTACTGTTTTGCTGTCACTTGTTTCGTGGACTCTGACAATCACCACAAGATCGGTAAATATTCTTTATTTGAAGAGGATCCTGGACGGCATGGTGGGAGGCGTGATGTTGACAGTTACTCCGGTTTACTTGGCAGAGATAGCAGAGGCCAGCATCCGTGGATCAGTGTTGCTATCAATCACTGTCACTTGGTTTGCCGGGACACTCGCACAGTTTTGTATTGGAACTTATCTGTCGTACAACGTCAGTGCAGCAGTCAACCTCATTCCGCCTCTAGCTTACTGTGTTTTGTTTTCCTTTCTCCCAGAATCGCCTTATTACCTAATGATGAAGAAGGAAGATAAAAAGGCGGCCAAATCACTATCTTGGTTTCGTGACATCCAAATAGATCAAGCGGCTAAAGAATTGACAGAGATCTCAGATTATCTAAAGCGAGATGCAGAAAACAAAAAGTCGTGGTACGATGTCATGGTGAACCCTATCTATAGAAGGTGCTTGTTTGTGGTGCTAGTAATAAGTTTAGCAGTGAATCTGACTGGTGTAACAGCTGTATTCGCATATGCTACAAAGATTTTTGCTGGCACGTCAAATGGCTTTTTAAATCCTGACATATGTTCAGTCGTAATCGCGTCTTTGTTTTTCGTAATTTCTATTCCTGTATGTTTATTAATTGATAAAATCGGAAGACGCCCTTTACTATTAATATCTACTACTGGATGTTGTCTTTCAAGTTTGTTATCTGCTGGTTACTTTTACTATAAAGATCAAATAGTTTATACTTGGATCCCACTGGTAACAGTAGGTTTGTATAGTGTTTTTGTGTCAGTAGGACTGAACCCTGTCACCATAGCTTTTCAAGGGGAATTATTTCCGTCCAGTGTGAAAAGTGTCGCATCCGGTATGGTGCAAGTGTTTCTCACCATCACATCATTCGTTGGTATTAAAATGTTTTATTTGGTAGAAAGTTATTTTGGACTGTACGTCAATTATATTATTTACGCTGTTGTAGGATTTATAGCATCAATATTGCTATACATTTACGCCCCAGAGACTAAAAACAAAACTTTCAACCAACTGTTGGTAGAGTTGCAGGGAGTTAAAGTAAAAGATGAACTGCAAGAAATGGAGGAATTAAAGAGTTTGAATCAAGTAACTTAGAGGTATGGTAAGGTATAACCCATAACCATACCTATAATACAGGGCCAAGATGAGATAAAAGTGGTAACACACCACTGTCCCAGCAAACCAAAACAACAGTTGCACTAATTTTAATTCACAATATAGTAGAGCATATACACAGTGTTTTTGTTATTGTATACTGCTATTACCAAACCTTTGCTGTTGCTAAAGACCAACATTGTGCCTTGTATTAGAGGAGGCTATGCCTTCAGGCTTGGATTTTTTTACAGTGATGTAAATTAAAATTATTCAATAAAATAGTTTCTTACTTTTTTGTACTTCTTGTAGTTCTTACTAGAGCCTGATAAACAACCTAATGTTAGTTTAAATACCCCCGCTGCAAAAACCTGCAGACTAAGCAAATTTCCATTTGACCGATTGGATTTCCAATGAAATCTATTTAAATAACATTACATTTAACAAGTTACCTAGGTTTGCTGCTACAGTGGTAATAAAGTCGGGATTTTTAGTAAAATATCAATAGCTTGGTGCAAAATTATTTACTTTTCCAAGTTTGATCAAAATATACCCGTAGCAAAAAAAAAAAAAAAAAACCACTACAGTTTACTTATTCTTCATAATAGCAAGGTAAATTGATAGAACTAGATGGCTCATCTCTGTGTTAAAGTTGTCACCAGTTTTAAATACCGGAACTTAATACTTTTACTTTGAAATGGCGACAATATGAATGTAGGTATTGTAAGCCAATTATGAATGGAGATGAGTGTAGTACTGTAGTAAGAGTGGCGCAATCTTGTAGTCTTGTTAGTGACTAAGGCGACATATTCCTTAGACACAGCTGTTAATTACTAGCTCATACAGCCAATGGCCACCATAGGGACCTACAGCTTATAGTGGAATCTGAACCACATTTTTGCTTTGTAATTAACGAATTGGTCTAATTATCAGGATGGTACTGCGGATAGTCACTCACTAGTGTGAACATTAATCCACACCAGGGAGTATCCCATAAACAGTGCATGCCTATAAATATCCACAATTCCCTCAGTAGCTGGATTACAGGACGATACCACTGTCCCAGTCATATAAAATATAAAAAATACGTAGTTAGTGAGCCATCGACAGGTTACGCTGATTTAAATGACTACCTTCTGTCGAATATGGAGACTTTTTAACCGAGTTATACTAATAGGACGAGACAACTTACTGTAAGTTATGTCTTCCCTTTCTCAAATCTTGTCACAATCTCTACAAAAATGTATCAAGTCACTTTCATTAAAACTTTGTAGTCATAACATAGTATGACTTAGTCAGTGTGCTAGTCATGGAAATAGTCATTCTTTTATTAATCTGAATAAATTTAACCACAATTAGCATATTTTAGTGTCAAGCAACACTATAAGGCATGTAAATTTAGCCTAAAACCTTATAACTCTGCTACAATTTGATTAATGCAGGTTTCATCTCTAAGAAGCCCTATTATTTTGTTAATAAATGAAGATGTGATGTGAAAACTGTTCAAACTTTCATTTTATTAATACAAATAAGGATTTTTTATGATGGGAGACAGCTTCCTTTGGATCACTTTTTTTCAAACAATTGCATTAAATTTATTTGAAAAGATATTGGTAAATGATGTAGCGATCATGGTATATGTGTAAGCACGGTTTGATCAGCAGAAAGTAGAAGAGCTCAAGTAGACTCACGACACTGAAGCCAAGAAAGAACGACAATAGGGACCCAAAAGACCCTGAAATAAAGAAATGTATAGCTTAAAAATTGTGCAATGACAATCATGATTGAATTATCATTTGAGAAATAAAATTGTTACATATTTCAATTGTTAAGTTATATAGTACCAGTACATGAAATAGGAATGTAGAAAAACATGCCTATCAGTTATCAATTGGTGCAGTATTCCATAACGAGTCGAAACTTTGATACAGTACCAACCCAGAATTTGAGAATAGATTAACAACTATTATATTAAAAATATTTATATGGCCAAAGAAGAATTGTAAAATTAATTATTGCTTTTGAGTTTATATTGTCTTATAAAATCCACTATGCTGTAAGGACAAATGAAGAAAACATAATCTTTTTTGCAATAACCTCAACATTTTTAAAATTTTTTTAAAATTTGTGTAGTATTCCCAGGTAATTGCACCTTGTACTACAAACCTCTTAATCCTAAACCTCAAATAACGATATAGGTTTACCTTATGGTTGCCAGGTTCTTGAAGTTTTGTCTGATGAATTTTTGATGAATGAATTATTGTTTTAGCCTGGTGAATATGTATCTACTTTAGTGACATCATCAGAAGCAAATTACACTAATACTACACTATTTATTTTCAATCTTTACGGCCAAAACTATAGAAGTAGTTGAAGGGCGACGGACAATGAGGGGGATAAAAGCCCGGGTGAAAAAGTGTGTCTGTGGACTTAATATGTAAATGATATAAATCACATTTTTATAACTTAAAAAAGATTCATAATAGTAAGTGGCTTATATAATAACATTCTAATTTACCAAGCAGTGAAGTAAAGGATGTGTACACATCCCTTCTCAGACGAGTAGCGATCAGATTCCGAGGGAATACGTACATCAAACTGTACTCTCCATTGGACAGGTTGAGGCCTCGACTGTCAACAAAATTGTGCCTCACATTTTAACAGGGTTAAAAGTTTTTAAGCCCACAAAAATGTTACTACAGTATTTTAATTTTGTTTGAAAACTTGAGGTATAAATATTAAACCAGGTACAGATACCTTGTTATCAATGTTATCAATTATCATCACCATTAATATTTTACAATTACAAATCAAAGGTAAAAGGTACTATAACTAAAATAATTAAGTACAACTTTCGGCTAAAAGTATTCTAAGTATTGTATTCTTGGTTTGAAGTTAATTTTTGGTGACGGTGAGTTTATGTTATCTAGTAGATTATTGCTGACATTTTACATTGCTATTAGTAAAAAAAACAGCCTTCGGACTTGAGGAGGGGTGTCCTGAGAACAGGATCGGGTTCCAGATCCCGAAACTTTTTAAAATGGTTTTTCACTAATCCTAATGGAAAATGTCTGCAGTAATGTGTTAGACTTACTAAAAGTAAGTGGAGGTGTCGTAATGAGTGAAGTTGAGTTGGCTGCGGCTAGTGTCAGCTGAGTACTGGGTGTAGTAGCACCTCGGCTTGCAACCACACGGTGTCGGCCACTTGGTCCTTAGCTGCTGAACGTCAACATGTGTGAACTCATCACTCAGCATGTACGAGTTGATCAGGGCTGTCAAACAAACAACAGTTACTGTAGACTGTACTGAGTGTAGTAGCACCTCGGCTTGCAACCACACGGTGTCGGCCACTTGGTCCTTAGCTGCTGAACGTCAACATGTGTGAACTCATCACTCAGCATGTACGAGTTGATCAGGGCTGTCAAACAAACAACAGTTACTGTAGACTGTACTGAGTGTAGTAGCACCTCGGCTTGCAACCACACGGTGTCGGCCACTTGGTCCTTAGCTGCTGAACGTCAACATGTGTGAACTCATCACTCAGCATGTACGAGTTGATCAGGGCTGTCAAACAAACAACAGTTACTGTAGACTGTACTGAGTGTAGTAGCACCTCGGCTTGCAACCACTCGGTGTCGGCCACTTGGTCCTTAGCTGCTGAACGTCAACATGTGTGAACTCATCACTCAGCATGTACGAGTTGATCAGGGCTGCCAAACAAACAGCAGTTACTGTAGACTGTACTGAGTGTAGTAGCACCTCGGCTTGCAACCACACGGTGTCGGCCACTTGGTCCTTAGCTGCTGAACGTCAACATGTGTGAACTCATCACTCAGCATGTACGAGTTGATCAGGGCTGTCAAACAAACAGCAGTTACTGTAGACTGTACTGATTGACGTTTTGTTTGAAACTATTTTTTTCAATTTGGTATTCAAATTTCTTAATGAACAGAAAATGAAGTAGTTACATTTGGAGACTTAATATTGAAAGACAAACAAAATATCATAAGCCATTCATCTGTTATTTGCTTGGCGAGTTTTGTCATTGCAAACGGTTTTTTTTTAACTCATTACGAACATATATATCTGTCAAACATACCTCATCATTTTTTAGGATTTTTTGAGAGGATAGCAGGCTTATCTGAATGGGAAAGAGTCCAAACTGGCACAGGAACACAAAACTTTACACTATATACACAAAACATTAGAATATTTCACTGTCACTGACAGCATTTTCAACTACGGAAGAGAGAGTTTAACTCCCAAAACTCTCTTCCTTAGTTGAAAATGCTGTCAGTGACAGTGAAATATTCTAATGTTTTGTGTATATAGTGTAAAGTTTTGTGTTCCTGTGCCAGTTTGGACTCTTTCCCATTCAGGTAAGCCTGCTATCCTCTCAAAAAATCCTAAAAAAATCTAGGCCCTTGTGCTCTATGCTACACCCTTATCTCATCATTTGTTATTTTAAAAAGTGGAATTCCAACATTTTTGATCAGGGACTCTTTTAAATACAGCAAGATGTATCTCAAATTTTTGTGGTAGTTACAATAACTCGGAATACCAGGGGAAGATGACAACTGTTTATATAATTTTACTACTGATATACAATTTTTTTTAAGGGATTGTAAAGGAAACATAACTGAAAAAAAGTATTGAACTGATTATGTTTGTAATGACTTATTGATAGATAAAATAAGTAATTCACTTTTTAATTACCTTGATGAGAAGCTAAGCACGGCAAGTCATTTAAGTCACACACCCTATCCATATCTGGAAAATTAAAATCATTGTAGATGAGACGATAAATTTTAAAAGTTTAATGAATACATAATGTGACACTTATTCTAAGCAAACCTGTTCATGAAAATAGGTGTTTTCTCAGTAGGACAGGCCTACATCCGAATGGTTATTGCAGTATTATGATACAGTTTTTTTTTTTACTCTATTCCTTTATTTGTGTTTATGTTAACTGTTATATGTCTGTACGATTCATTATAAAATTCTATGACGACATTTTGATAAAATGTATCAACAAAGATCTATATTTAAAATAGTTGGTGAATCAGCCCGATCTGGCAAGGGAAGTGGGAGTTTGTACCTCTATAAATATTTATTGTTTGACCTTTTTGTTCAAATAAATTTAAGATAATTAAAATACTTATACCAATGTCCAAACGAGACAGACGTTTCTACTCCCAGTTGGTGTTCTACTCTATTGACTTTAGACTGCTGCAATATGTTAAATTGTTGTAATACATGATGCAAACGACACTAACTGGTTGTGTAGTATGTAGTAAGAACACATCCGCAGTATCTCTCCGTGATGTTGATCTTGCATTCCTCCAGACAATTGTGATAGGTGTACAACTTGAAGTAGGCCAAACTCACCTGTAATTGAAGATGAATCATATGAGATGGTATGTGGCGATCGATTTTGATTGGAAACTCCAATCATCATCAGATCCAATAGGCGAATAACAACCTCGATGGTACCCCTACTATTTTATACTATTGGTTACTGAAAGTTCCAATAACAATACAAGTAAACTAAAGAAATTAATGAACAAGTAAATTTTGAATCCAGTTGTACTTTTAGAAACTTCTTACATGGAAGTTCTAGTGGGGAAATTTGCTAACAGGTAAATTTTAGAAGAAAATGTGTCTCACCTCGTTTTCAATGACACAATCTCTCAAGCTGGTGTCGAGAGCCTTCACCTCTGCACTGGTGGTGGTGAGCGCAGGAGTGTATGACACCATGATGAGAGTAGAAGGAGCGACCACGACTAGACGAGCTGTCTCTGAGATGTAGCTGCGAGGGCGACTGATCAGTAACTGTCAACACAGAACTGATACAGACTGGGACGGGTGGCGTCGTCCTGTAATCCAGCTACTAGGAGGTCACGAATTGTGGATATTTATGGGGATGCACTGTGGATGCGGTGCTCCCTGGTGTGGATTAATGTCCGCACTAGTGAGTACTACGACTATCCGCAGTACTATCCTGATAATTAGACCAATTCGTAAATTACAAGGAAAAATGTGGTTCGGATTCCACTATAAACTGTAGGTCCCTTAATTGCCATTAGCTGTATGGGCTATTAATTAACAGCTGTGTCTAAGGAATATGTCGGCCTTAGTCACTAACAAGACTACAAGATCGCGCCACTCATCCTACACTCATCCTTCACTCATATTTGGGTTAAAATACGCACATAGTGGCGTCCCCATCTTAAATAATTGATAATTGATAATTGACAGTCACAAGCATAATGATAACAGCAGTGTATTCATTATGCTTCAGATTATTGGACTGGGCAAAAGTGTAAAGTGAATTTATTTTCTTTAACTAGGTTTTAGCTCAGGATGTTTTTTTTTATATTACTTCACTAGAATGTAATATAAAATTACATTACTGCAAAAATTTAATTATAAATTGTACTTAGAGATTATTACAATTGAGGCCTATTCCGGTAAAAGGGCACATAGGCCAAAATGCAGTTTTGAGTATTTGAGACGTAAAGTATTCCTCTTGTAATTGCATAATCAACATTTTTTCCTAACATTACCTTAAAATAATTTTAATTTAGATCTAATTATTAGATCTAATTGTGTTACTATTCAGCTTTTGATATTCAAAATGTTAATTACTCAAAATTTGTCGTTAATTTATGTTTTTATATGATAAACAAAATGTGTTATATGCTGTACACATTGTTAGGAAAAAATATTCCAGGGAGCCAACTGTTGAGATAACTAAACAAAATTGACTGTGGTTACACAGTACAATATGGCGGTTCGTTTGAGCTACTTTCCGGAAAAAGGGCACATAGGCCTATGTGCCCTTTTTTCGGAAAAGGCCTCAATTATTACTAGAAAAAATAAGTCGGTTATGAGGGATTTTAGTCGGGATTAAAGTCCCACGCTCTAACACTAGATCAGCTCGCTCCACTAAGTACTAAGTGATACTAGGCTAGGTACTCAAAAATACTGAAGACGGACAAGGTATGTTAACCTTTATATTCCAATTTAACAGTCTTGGTGACTTGTACAGGAATCTCAGCCATCTTAAATCTTTATTTGGATTAAAATAACCCTTAAAGAGGTTATTATTCCCCATTGGCTTTTTTATAAGAACATATTTGTTTAAATTATGATCAGTTGGATAATTTAATGGGTGTTAATCTTTTAGTTGCAGTTTAAGGAAACGTGTGCTACAAACATTTACTGACTTGGGCAAACGTTTTGTCATGACGTTGTGACAAAACGTTTGCCTGTGCCGCATCGTGTGTGGAACTAGTTCCCGAATTTTATGTTAAATCGTATTCGTCCGTCAATGTCTTGTGTTTTAATTATTTAAATGTCATTGTTTTGTGTGTTTGTAAAACTTGACGACCTCGCAAGAGTGACAAGAGCCTGATGATGAGGTTATAACCTCGAAACCGGTAGCTCATTACTACAAATTTTAGGATCATAGACGGAAAACAGGTAATCTTATACCATATTAATTTTCAAGAAGCGATCCTGGACCAAATAACATCATTATGAAGCAAGCATTGACTTTTAACTTACTTTGGTACCATAGGAGGAGAACATCGTGGCGTGATAGTCATTCTTGTCAGTTCTCACGAGGATTACAAGTCCGTCATCACTGCCTGTTGTTGCGACACTTTTTTCCAAAGGATGTGGACCATTCTCTGTCTCCTCACTGTTCATATCAGTTACGAAATTCCATAATTGAAACCAAGAACTTCATTAATCTTATTGTGTGCTAACTTACTTGTTACATATCATTGCAGTGGGCATCTCAATATATGCATACATGCAGTATCAGTCAAAACTATAAGAAAACTTGACACATGTGTGCTATGGTTTAGTATGAGTGGTGAAAATTAATATTTAATGATAATTCACAATGCATGTTTAAGAGGTATGATGAGTAACTAGTCTCATACTAATTAACGTCGTTCCCAATCTACTTTTCCATAAATTATATATGTTTTTCAGACTCATAGTGATTGTTCCCACACTGGAAAATTGACAACTCACAGAGTTTGAGTAATAAAATATAAGTATTGCGGTTGAATATAACACTTTTATAAATATATTTAAAGTTTAAAAAGAGATTTCAAACAAGTGTTCCAACTTACAATGAGCTGTTGTGGTCTCCAATGTAGTTAAAGGCGCAACAGTAGCCCTCGAATGTCTTGACCATACGGAACATTTTGCGACAATCTTGAGTCTTATCTTGCCAAGCACATCTTACAATCAGCTCATCACAAGGTACTGCAAGCTGACAAGGTCAGTTATCTACTTACTGATGTCTACGTAAATTCTGATGTATCTCCTATTTCCCTTGAGAAAATATGAGGGCAACCTGTGAATTAGTCTCCATCGAGTTCCTGACACAGCAAAGTGAGCTAGTTAAAATCTGAGAGACCAAAGCCACATTCTTTACTTCATCACATACTCTTTTAGCTGGCTCCCATCCATAGGGGACAATATGTCTCATTGTAGTATTCTAAAACATTTAAGAGAAAATTGATGCTTCCGCCATGAAGGTTTCCGTTTATGATAAGGTTCCTGTAGAAAGGACTAGCCCTGTTGATTACTATTGCTAGTTGACAGATACATGCAGAAAAGTGTTTTGGTGTATGAAATGCTTATAAGTGGAGTACATATTTGAGAAATAGATGACAATCTGTTTTAATCAAGGCAGTGGTTGCATATGAAAAAAACTATAATGGCTGATTGAACTAACAAATATGAATAAAGAATATTATGTGTTACCAACAGTTTAAGCTTCTTCCCCATGGGAAACATCACTCAATTAAAAAACTTTTACCAACCTTCTAATTGCATATTTTAAGAGCTAAAATCACTAATCTTATTCAATTCAAAACTTCTTCATTAATTCTGTAACATGTAAGTTGTTTACAAAGAATAGAGTCACACCTAACCTAAATTATACATATTAGTAATATCTAAAAATACATCCCACAGTTGAGTTTTCAGCTCTTAGGATAATATAATATACAACATACGTTACACACGTCACTCCAAGAAATTATGGAAAAAAATAAAATAAAATAACTACAACTGAGTCTTAAAAATTAATAAAAACAATACTTGAAATAAGGATTATATACATACAGTAATTACTATATCCTAGAATAAACACGTCCAGCAAAGATTTTTCTAATTTTAATTTTCAGGTATGTCTTAATATTAATTTTGACCACGAGAAAAAATGTTGGAGAGAGTAAAACGTTGATTCAATCAAGTATGCCTTCAATAGTCTCAAAAACTTATTTTGGTTTTTTTTCCAATTTAATATTTCCCGGGAGGCCATCAAAAAATCTATTTCCTACATATGTTGTTTTCTTTTTGAAAAATTCCAAATTATGTTGTTCTACTAAACGATGAGCTCTAGAACCCAGGTGAAGTGACGCTTAAACAAGTAGCCGGTATCCCTGGTTAGGATTGAGGGGCAACCCTCTTTCCGAAAGGTTGCTTCGGCAGCCGGTGAGCTTGATGACCTTAAGTCATCCTCCCATGGTGTACCAAAGGTCGGTGCGTATGCTTCGGCCTACATCATGGGGCCCGGGTATGTTTAATTATAGGTAACGGGTTAGCAGTCAGGGAGTCTCTTGCTCTTATGACAAAACGAAATGGAAATAGAATGAATTATAAGAATGTGTTGTATTGCCAATCGAAATCCTATTGCCAAGTAATGTAAATTTTATTGTTTCATAAATGTATAAACTGTAAACTGTGAATATTTTTAAATCTTTTAAAATATGTTTTACAGAATCTTTTGATTTTAAATTAAACATTATTCTTAAGGGGGTTCCCTACCTCGAACTGTTTTCAATTTTCTGCGACCCTGGTGAGTTTAGTTGGAACTACAAGACGACAAAATATTCCCTAGGATTGCTGTCTGCTGGTCCATTTAACATTATTGTGGTCCCTCCGCGAGACAGTAGTTTCGATAAAGGCCGCTAGAGTCCAGGCTAGAGTCCGTCAGAATCATAGCACTTTTCGCCGTGCAAGGTTTTACGCGGTTTCATTTTGCACATACAAAAAATAATCTTTTCTTGAAACTAAAAGTGACTTGATATTTTTAGTTAAATTTCGCACTAATATTGCTTTATTAAAAATCGATAATTTCATAAAAAGATATTATTATTCAACTGTAAAGTTCACTAACTTTGACAAGTCGTTGCCCTTGATTACGTAAGCATAGACATTTTTTAAAAAGCAAACTTAGTAGAACCACTCTTTATGTACAAAATGGTGTTTGGTTCACAATTTAAATGTTAAAACTAGAATCGCTATATGATACCGCGCGAAGCGGTTTTCTGACGTTTTTCGGCGGGGGTAGGGAACCCTCTTAAAGCTCTTTTTTGCTATATCAGAATTTTATCCTTAGTTTATGAATACAAAACCGACTACTCATATTATCCAGGGTGTCCCGGAACTCTCTACCAATATTTTAGGGCATTGCTCCCGGGTAAGAAACATACCTAAATATCATATTTAAATTGTCCGGAAGTCCTTAGTTACTCACACAGCCACCATTTTGTTTTTTCAGTTATTAATTTTTTTCTAAAGAATGGTTAAATATACGAAATGGAAACTTTGCACAAACATTTATGACAACTAGACAAAGCTACCAAAAAATTTTGAAGATTTTTCAAATTCATAAAACAAAATGGCAGCCGGTCAAAATTTTGTGTCTTAAATAACTTGAAAACCATTGATTTTACAAAAATTTTAAACGGCCGCCATTTTGTTTTATGAATTTGAAAAATCTTCATAATTTTTTGGTAGCTTTGTCTTGTTGTCATAAATGTTTGTGCAAAGTTTCCATTTCGTATGTTTAACCATTCTTAAAAAAAAAATCAATAACTGAAAAAAAACAAAATGGCGGCTGTGTGAGTAACTAAGGACTTCCGGACAATTTAAATATGATATTTAGGTATGTTTCTTACCCAGGAGCAATGCCCTAAAATATTGGTAGAGAGTTCCGGGACACCCTGTATTGTTTCACTATACTTGCAATAAAAAGACTAAACTAGGGACCGTTTTAAGTACTGGAAGCAAACAAATTCGGTACTTACTTCCTTCATCAGGGTTTCAATTGACACTTTATTCAGAAAGAGGGTGGTTTTCAAAGCGTTTGGTGCTAAAAATGCACTTCTGCCTCGAAACATGGCAATAGGTAATAAACGCATCTCTTCAAAGACTTGGTCCTTGCTTATGTTTCGAGGAAATGTCCTAGTAATGATAAAAAAAACATTTAAATTAAAATTTAAACACCAGTTCATGTAAAAATCAAATTTCGGCATGATTTTAAGCTCAGAGAATAGATTTGAGATTAATAATGCCCCGAATAAGGAAGGTATATTTTTGTGGTTGAAGCAGTTGGTCTATGAGCCTTTACAAATTGTTTGCATAATGGAAAGTAGTCATTACATACATACAAAAATAAATCACAGGGTTCTTTATTGGTCTAAATTAAGTAAAGTTTTAGATTAAAACATTGACTATTAGATTAATTTAAACATAGACACGTATTTAAGACTTAATAATAATACCTATGCTACAATCATTTTAGTTAAACAATTAAAGTTAAGAATATAAAATTTCAATAAAGGCTAGAATACAAGCTCCTAGCGGGCTTTGAAACAGAGCTCGTAAACGTTAACTACTACAATTACTCACTCAATAGTCAATAAAAGTTTGAGAAAAGATGTCTCTGTCGGCGACTTTACACAGTCTTTACTCTAAGACTTTTAAGCACACTAGATAGTAAATTATACAGTACCCCAAACAAATTACAGTAATGTTGAATAGTGTCCTCACTATTGACTTGGTAAGGTTTTTGATCTTACCAATTACCAAGAAGTCTAAGTGCGGCTCTCCGGCTAACCAAGTTGAAACTGCAAGCGGTCACCGCGGGGAAATGTACTTGTCCTATAGGGAATTGCATTGTGTCAATGTTGGCAACGGTTTTATTGTTGACGGTGAAGTCCAAAGCTTGCCATAGCCAGTAGGCTGTCAGACCCACTGCCACAGTCATTGTAACCACCCATATGAATCTGATAAAAGATCATACACAAGAACTACTTCAATTTATTATTAAACCTAGCCTAAGTCTAACTATAAATGTAGGATGTAGACATTCACAATTGATATATATTTTTTTTTAATGGAGAAATGATTACAAGGATTCCATTGTTTGTTGCTGAGTGAAATTCAATTATGGATATGGCTAGTTTACTCTCAGATAATTCCCATAACTGCTTTTGTTAACATCTAAATAAAATGTGTCATGTTTTTCTTCTAGAGGAATATCATACCTTACATATAAAAAAACCTGAATCCCAACTAATAAAAAAAAACAATACATTACATATTTAATTCCACTCGTGTGATTTGTTTTGGTTAGCCCAAGTCAAATTCAGTAGATCAATGTTAATAAAGGTTGTACTTTGAACAGCACAGTAAAAAAAAAAAAAAAACAGTAGGTTAGGTAGTAGTAGCAGAGATAATACCTTCTATGGATAAAAACTTATCTTTTGGAGGGATATCAAAATTTGTGATTAAAAAAGAGAATATCTGAAAAACACCTTTGCTTGGAAGTTATTTTCTTGCTAACAGCATATTTGAATCCATGAAGAGAAGTGTTCTCTGAGAATTTTTTCACCTGAAAAATGAATAATTTGTAAGGAGGCTCTAATGATTTGATAAATAAGTTTGGACTATCTAGATATTTGATAATTTTCCCAAAGAAGATAGTGTTAGCACTAGTTAGTTAGTACTTTTTGTCCATGGTACTTTTCACTTCCAGATATTAACCAAATAATTTATCAGACCACAACCATAAAAGACTAATTTTAGGCTACTGGTCACTTGGTTTTTGTGCACAGTCACCTTTCAGCAACATTCACAACAGCCTCCCTAACATTTAGAATACAAATTTTTAAAATCTGCCATAACAATTTAAGAATATTGCCCAACAAGCATCAAATGACTGTAACTAAAATTTTTTGCAACTAAGAACTCAGGTAATAATTGAAATTCACACAGATATTTGAGCACTAATTTATTAAGCTAAAAAAAACTTTCTAAACTAAATACAAAAATTAAGTCTTACATTCAGTCTTACAAACGTCGAGTGAAAAAGTGACATAGCACATCAGGACTTAACACACTAAAAATACAAAGGAGGAACATAAACGTGAAAGTTAGAGAGCACTAAAGT